TATTCACCCTTAATTTGAGCAGGTAAATGAGATAGTTTGCCAATGGAATGAGTAATTTTATTCTTAAAATAAGATAATTAGATAATATGCACTTGATATAAGACAATGCAATTGTGTTTTCTTATTTTAAGTGTAAATTGTCTTGTGCCATTGGCAAGATGTATCTTTTACCTCCTCAATTCAAGAACAAATGCACTTATTTTAAGAAAAAATTACTTATCTAGATTCAGATTTTTTGCAGCGTGGCTGCTACTGTTACTGTCCCAGATATCCTCAGCCTCCAGTAATCTCTGAGGTCCTCTTTGCTGTAGAGATGAACGTCCTAACCTTGGTCCTGTCTGTTTTTATTAACCAATCCCCCGTTTGGTTCGTCTCTCTCTCTGATAGCTGCATTTCTATGACAGTCTACCTGCTGCTTTTTAATCCTCATTCTGTAATTTATTTGCTTCTTGTTCTCCTAAAACCATTTCCCTGTTTCCATGAGCTCTGTTTGCATCAGACCCCGGCTTTAAAAGGGATATCTTACTCTGAGTTGTCGCTGATGTCCGACTGTATGTACAGCATCTCTATCAAGGAAGTGTAGAAGAGGCTGTTTTCATTGAGGATGTCGCCGATCATCCTCAAGGCGCCGCGGCTCAGGTTGCCCTCCTTTACCAGATATTCCTGCAGACCACACACCATTACTGTAGTCTCATCTGTTTTCCCAACTCTGGACAAACAATCATCTTACCTTTACTGTGTAGGAGTCATATTTCTCCAACATGGCTCTGCAGCCCAGGACCTTCAGGTCGTCCCTCACCTGGTCACAGATTACAGCCATGCATTTAACAAAGCATCCATTAAAAAGCACATTTATGATCCTTTTTAGATCATCAGAGAGTCTGCGGACCTTCCAGAGCGTCTGACTGAAGAGCTCAGCGGCTGACTTCCCCTTCTCCCCGTCATTCAAGCTGTAGTTGAGCACAGCGGGGTTATTTTCAACAGTGTAGGTTTTGTGCAGCCTTCCGTTCACCAAGTAGTAGGTGTTGAAGTCATCTTGGATGAAGTGATTCAGAGGAATTTGTAATGTGGAGATGAAGGAAAGCAGAATCCTGCGATGGAAACAGATGTTCATGTTAGAAAGATTTCCCTTCATTCTTTTTAAAATCCATGAAATCGGTGCTCACACTGCAAAAACGATGTAGAAATAACTTAAAATGTCTTAAATTAAGTGTATTCACCCTTAATTTGAGCAGGTAAATGAGATAGTTTGCCAATGGAATGAGTAATTTTATTCTTAAAATAAGTGCATTTGTTCTTGAATTGAGGCGGTAAAAGATACATTTTGCCAATGGCACAAGACAATTTACACTTAAAAT